CGCAGCTCGTGAGATACTTTATCCTCTAATAATCCCAAATACTCAAAGTTTTCTGGACATCCCTCACGTTCCCCATTCCTATGCTTTGGTGTGCATGGTCCTCTCTGCCTACAATTCTTTTTCTTTACTCTTTCAACCGGCAGGCTTCTTTGCCTGTTCTTTATGACACAACTCAGGTACCATTTGACCTTCCCTTCATTCCCTGGAGATGTTCTGTACCTTTCCTCTGAAGGTTTAAAGTATCTTATGCCGCTGTTGTAATTTTCTTATTTTATCTTAATGATTAAATGGACCATGTCTGGAGCCACCTGTAAGCCTCAGGTTCCTTATCTGTAAGGCGTGGATACAAGTTGCTGCAAAACTGAAAGAAGGTGACCTGTAAAGGTTTTAGCACAGTCATGTCTCCATACTGTCCTGGATGCATCTGCTGGGTTCTCTCTGCTCACCTTGGAGTCTCCTCAGCACCTCTCTCAGGCAGGTGTCAGTTCGTGGATGCCCGAGTTGGGACCCTGGTTATGAGGACCACTTGATCAGAAAGGGATCTGGGGAAGTCATGGTATGCCTTTGAGGGTGACTGAAAACATCATCGGGACACATCCATGGGTGTTAGTGATGGAGACAGATCTGGAGCCCAACTTTTCTTTTTGCCTTTTAAATTCTATGTAAAGGGTATATGAGAAAGATAGGAGACAGAGAGATGGCAAAAGCACCCCCAGAGGGTGTGGACACACTGCAAACCCTTTTCCTCCATTGGGATACAGGGCACACATGAATGTGTGCTTGGTGTGTTTTTCAAGCCACCAGAGCCAGAATTGGAACAGAGGTTAGGTACGTGGGATCCTGCTCTCTTAACCATATGGGGACAGCCCAATAGGGCCTAACTTCTTTGATAGCTGGTCCATTGTTATTATTTTAGCAATAAGTCTTGGTCATCTCAAAAATACTAACCAATGAACAAACAAACAAAAAGAATGACAAAAGCAACAACAAAATAATTTGATTCAAAGAAAGACTTTCTGGTCTGTGACTCCTCCTTTTTTGGCTGGCTCCCTTCAGCCCAAGTAGAGGCTGTGGTCCTGGGGTTACCCGTTCCACCTCTTTAAGGATCACGCTTCTTCGGTCCCTCCCTTCTGTCCTGTATTTCCAACCTCTCCTGCTCTACCGATTTTTTTTCCCTTGACATATATACATGCTCACGTCTCTATCATATTAAAGCAAAAGAACAATACACAAAACCAGCCCCGCTAGTCTCCAAATCCACTTCCACTCATGCCAGTGATAACCTCACTTTGTGACAATGACCTGTATATATGAGACTCGATGGTCACTTTATGTCCATACTTCAGTGACCTCACAGCAGTACCAAATGCTCTTTTTTCCTTCTTGAAATTCTATTTTTGTTTGGTCCCTAGGATGCCACTGCCTTCCAACTTCTCTGTCGGACTTCTACAAACTATTTTTCCTCCTTCTGTCCCTCTATCTCTCCTCTATCCTTTGCACATGGCTTTCTTTCATGGTCATCTTGTTTCTCTACATATTCATTTTAGCAATATCATTGCTGAGGACTCTAAACACCAATTTCCTGATAATTCTCTAAGTGGTGGTGAGTTCCATACTGTATTATTATTGTTATTATCATTATTTTTAGATTTTGCCATAGGGCATATTTGCTGGCTGGAGAGACAGAGAGAAACAGAAAGAGAGAAATCACTGTTCAGGGGGACGGTCACACCACAATCCCTTCTTCTCCATTCTCCTCCTGGGATTTTGGGCACATGGGCACATGTATCTGGTGTGAGTTTCAAGCCTCCAGGTCCAGGACTTAAACCACAGTTGGCCATATGGTAGTCTATCACTTTAACCACCATGCCACCTGCTGACCCCCTCCCATATTGTATCTCTAACCAAGACCTCTCTGATGAGCTCCTGACTGGTATATCCAGCAGCCTATAGATATGTCTACTTGGATGGAAATTCCTATAGTCTGCAGATGCTCAAATTCAGAATTTTCAGAATGTAGTTTGCATTTTGCTTTCAAATACCATCTTCTCTCCAGAAAGGTGCCCCATCACAAAACCAGAAACATTAGCTTCATTCTAGAACATTCCTTTCCACATTAACCTCTCATTTATTTTGCAAAATATCTGTAGGATCTCTTTCTTAAATATTCCTTATAGCTATAGCATTAAGTTGCTCTTGTTGCCCTTTCCATTCTTGCTGCTGCTACCTTAACACAGCCCATACTGCTTCTTGTGTGACTTCCAGTCTCCTCCGGGATTACTGTATGTCTGCTCACCATAGCTGTAGGGCTGAGCCGAGCCAACTCTGTCCCTGCAGAGTACACTGAGGCTCGAACTGCCTGCCTCCCAGGTTAGCGCTGCCCCTCTCTGGAGCACCAGGGTCCCACCACACTGCACCATGGCCTCCCAAGTCCTTGAGTTCAGTTCCAAACACCTCCACTCCTGTAGCATTATGCTGTAAAGTCCTTCCCTTTCTGACTCCTGTTCTTCCCCCCACTTCTTCACCTTACTGATGACTGCTCATCCGTCAAAATTTAATTAAAGCATTACATTCCCAGGGAAGCTCCTTGTCACTCTGATCAGGTCTAAATATTCCCCCTTGGCAGTCTCAGCCACTCTCCTGCTGTCTGTTCTGGGAGACTTCAATGTGAAAGTAACAATGCTGGGAGAGACAAAAGATGTCTGGGGTCACACATGGGCTCCGCCACCTCCCAGCTGCGTGACCTTGGCCAGGCAACTTACTCACCCTGCGCCTCAGTTGCCTCATTTGTAAAATGGAGACAGGAGTGGTAGCGCCACACCCAAGAGTGGTTAGGGGAGTGAGATGCTTTACGTACAATGGCTGGAATGAGGCCTGAGACAAAAGGAGTCTGATTAAAGTTGAGCTGTTTTTATTATTATCATGACTATTGATTTACTTGCCTGCTGTCAAAAACAAAAAAAAAGAAAACCCAACACACGCACACACGAAAACCCATGCTTGATTTGATTGTGTTCGCTCCGAACCTAGCACGGTCCCTGGGACATGGTAAATACTCAATGATACTCACTGAATGAATAAATAAATATAAATTATAAGTAAGTACAAAACAGAATTAAACGTTTACCTTTAAAGCATGCTAATGAGTAAAATCACCCTAATTTATCCTGTATGTTCTTCTTGCACATAAGATGTTGATGGCATCTCATTAACTTACTGTACACCGACTCATTGTTCTCTGAGTCAAGAATCTTACAGTCTCGACACAAGAGCATGATGTAGTTAATTAACAAAACTGTTATTCTGGAAAGCAATATGTAGGCATGAACTGTGACAGAATTCCTTTGAGACATAGGTAGAGGAAAAAAATGTGACTTCCTGTCAGGAGACCAGAAGCCTAATAAGCTATAGAGAATAAAAGGTAGACAGTCCCATAAACTCGGACTTTGGCGGCACTTTTTCTGGTGCTGTCTGGAGCTGACCAGTGTGGAGAAAACAAGTGGCCCGCAGAATGATTCCCCAGCACGCGGGGAAAATGGGCTGCAGGGAGCACTGGGCCCCCTGGCCCGGAACTCCCGGCAGGGAGGTGTCTAGCTGAAAAATGTGATCTGCGACAGCAGGCAGCCTTGGTCACAGCTGTGTTCCTCACGGAAGCACTGCTCCTTAGGCCTACTGAAGATCTTTATCTCAAATACAGGAATCTGCAATCCCCCACCTCTGAGAAGTCACCTTTGAACCCACTGGAGATGTTAAATAATAATGTCCATCTCATATCTGCCATTCGGGGAATCTCAGAAAGGCATTTCAACCCTGTGTGGTTGTTGGCAGGTCCATGGGATGTCAAGGTATTAGCAGTCCTCAACTCTGCGCCTTAACCGTTCATGGAAAGTGAGTCTTAGGACAAACTACGTGTGGATTTCAAGTGTTTTCCGGTACCAAATAAACTCATACTTGCCCCCCATTTTTCCCTAAACCTTTTGAAGCCCCCTTGTATTCACCTCACCTGGAAGTCTATGGATTATAAATTCTTGAAGCTGAACTTAGACTCTGAGTATAAACAGGGTCTCATAGGGAGAAAACTATGCTTCTCAGATGCAGTGAGCCCCCTCTAAACATCAGCCAATACTGGCATTCCTTTTCAAACCACCAGACTCAAACCTGGAGCATTCCCATGTAGGCCAGCCTCACAGAATGAGGCATTTTTACCACTGCACTGCCATCTGGTCCCTTCTCTGTCTACTCTTGATCCCTGTCTCCTTGGAAAACATCCACACAAAACAAGAAGTCTTATATTAAACATCCATTCTTCTCCCCTGTGATGTGAGGAGGGCAGGTGTCCTCTCACCTCCCTTGAACCACAGTGTTCAGGAACCTGTCTGTGCCTGCCCCCTTCAGAGCACCTGTGGGACAGCTCACACTCAAGTCTGTGTATCTGCCTTCCCAGTCCTGATTCTGGATCAGAGGAAACCAGCCATGCTTGAGGCAAGCAGAGTTGCATAACTAGGGTGAGGACTGGACAGAGTGACCCAAATGGCCACCCGTGAGCTGACAAAGCCCTTCTTTTTTTTTTTTTTTTTTTTTAGGGGGTTTTTGTATAGGGCGC